TTGGCAGTGCATAAAAACAAAGATTCTTAACCAATGCTGAAAGATACGAACTGAACAAGTGGAATTAGACAACAAAATATTAGTATCAAATAAACAATAACAAATATTACTTCTATTTCAGTTTTACCTGCATTATTAGTCTACATCCATTAGAATTAGTTTTGCTTTTAGCAAAACGAGGGCTGTCTCTCATATAATACTTCCTCCGTCCTATAAAAAGTGTCATTTTTAGAAAATCGTAACTCTTACAAATTGAACTATTACGGTTCCCGAAACACGACACTTTTTTTTAAACGGAGATAGTATTTTCTATTTTAAAGACTATTGAGAAATTATCAGGCTTTACATATGTTCATTTCAAATTTGACCATGACTAAAATGGTTGCCAAGACTAAAACTTAAAATCTTTGGAATAATTCATTGGGAAAATATTCTATACAATTATAATAAACCAACCTTTGAGAAAAAAAGAGAGAAATAAAAATTGAGGTGAATCAATCATTTACCAGTACTGTGCTCTTTAGCCTAACTTTTGTTATATTTAACCCCCCCTCCCCCCCTTTTTTTTTTAAATGGTAGATTATGTTAGCAGATGCACAAACTTAAGCCTAACACTCCAAATTTCAAAAGAGGCTCTTAACCAACTGGGTTGCGAGGTAATCTGCTTTGCCATAACACAACTATGGTGTTCTATGGATTTGCATACATTTACATGTATCAGGTCATTAGAAAACACCATGTTTTAGTAGCACCTAGCGCCGAGGGCGGATCTATGTATATGTTGAGTCCACCAAAAATAAAAAAATATAGATAGTTTTAGGCCAGCAAAAAAATAAAATAATAATTACTAGTATTAATCCACCCAAAATAATATTAACTCATCCCATTAACAATTTCTGAATCCGCCCTTGCCTAGTGTGAAAAAACAAAAAGTGATTCACATAATTTGCCTAAACTAAAAAAATTTAACTAATAGTATCTCATCACTTACAGATCTTTTGACCTGACTATCTATACTTATCCATTTATACCCCCACCTATTAACTTTTCTATCCGGATTCGATGTAGGACAAGCTCTCCCTTATTACATTATTCCCCACCCGAACTCGCAACGCTCTCGTTGCTGCTCGGACCACCCTGCTTACCCGGGTTGCAAACCCGAACACCTTCGGGGCCGTGCACTTGGCGTGACACCGGATTAAGGATTGAGTCTGACTCTAATACCAACTGTAACATGTGAGCACTTGCCCATTTACCCAAAAGCTTAAGTTATTGGGAGTGTTACAGATCCACCTATTTATACCTATTCACTTTTTCATCTAGATTCGATGTGGGACAAATTCTCCTTTGTTACAACTGGCCAGTTGAGGAGGATTTGAATATAGCCAACTTGGCTCTTGTTAAGACAAGCAACACTACATCCATATTTTAAGAAATCTATCATACTAGTCTTATATGTATTTCTTACTAAATTATTAATTTATGTAATAAGTGGGATGAAATATAGATGTAATTTATTATTTAAAAGCAAGTATTAATTTATAGAATGTATGAATATGTATGCAAAAACTCTCTAAAAAAAATAGATAACCTAATCTAAAATAAAATTAACTTGTATGATTTTAGTAATACATATGAACAGAAACTAGCAAGGGAGAGCTGCTCTTCAATTTTAACAATTTACATGCCATTGTGCCATTGTAGATGGTTTTCATATTTTATGCACAGGGAAGTGTATGATGGGCTCTGAGCTCTAGGATTAGAAAGGCCAAATTTTCATTTACGAGGTTTACATAAAAAAATGCTTTTGATAAAAAAATAATAATAAATAAATTCTAGCATTCACTGCTTAATTAATTTTTAACGATAGCTTTCTTCATCTCTTTCATGCATCAATACTAGTTACTTAATTCTTAATCACAAATTCACGATAGTAATCGCCTTGCCTTTATATTACATGAATCATGTGTTGATCACGTAAATTCTTTTTATTTTTTATTTTATTTATATGACAGCCATTTAAATTACTTACATAATTTTTAAATTTAATTAAGAGCAAATTAATAAGTATATGTCAATTCCATTCATTGTCCTTCCAACTTGTCAAGTTTAGAAAAAAAATTTAATTGCGCCCGTTATATAGTGCAACTGACACATTCAATCATTCATTACCGTGCATGTAATACACTCGTTCGCAAGTGTATTATACAGATTGTCTGGTATGCAACAGGCTAACAAAGTTTTTCTCCAAGTTTTAGGGGTGTTACTGGCATTGAAAGGATACGGAAATGGGCTTTACCTATATGTCTAGACTCTAGGCTAATGGTGAAGAACTGCGAGACATATGCTAGAGCCCTGCACATAAGTGAGATTAGCACCGAGTAAATAATTTGTTAATCCTTTTATTATCTTTCAAAAGAGAGAATTCGGTACTAAAAAGGACATTGTTGTAAAAATTCTGGAAAAGGACTTGAGACATAATAATAATAGTAATTATTATTTTTTATTTTTAATTTTATTTTGTCTTGACTAGAAATATATTCACACCCCCACTAACTCTTACGAAATTTGAACCCTCTATCTTTTATGGAGTTCGGGACTTAATCACACAAATCTTCTAAATATGTGTCGTTCTCATGCTTTGTACGCGTTTCCATTCTCACGCTTCCACTTTCACTCTCAACATGTGTGACTTAGATTTTTTCGCTTTTGCCCTACTCCTCCTACTCCACCACTTGCACTTGTTCTTGCTCTCGTTCTTTGTGAGTTGCTTCGGGACAGACTTTGTGGTGACCTATGTTGGCGGATGTGCGTAGGTGGATACGAGGTATCGACAGGCTATCATATTGGGCGAGTTACAGATACACAATCTCACATCATCTGGATATGAAAAAAGACAAGTGCTATATGTAAATTCAATACATTTCTATAATATAACGCATTTTAAAACTATAATGGTCGTAAACCCATCAGAACTCACCTTCAATATATATATTGTGTCGTGAGGATAGTTACAGACTTCACCTTCAATTTTTCTTTAAGTGACATTTCTTAACGACGACGAATGGCATAAATGATGAATATGCATTTAAAATTCAATAGTTATGCAGTTTTAATGGGTTGACAGTTGAGTGAGATTTGGATGGGTGATAAACGGGTTGACAATTGAGTGAGATTTGGATGGGTGATAAACGGGTTAACAGTTGAGTGAGATTTGGATGGGTGATAAACCGGTTGAGTATTAATTGAATTAATATATATATTTATTGCTTTTCTTTCTCTTTTGTGGGTAATTATAAAAAAATCAACAATTTTATTTCATTGAAGAGTGGAGATTCATTCTTAACTTTTTATTTGAAATCTTTTATGAGATTTTACTCGATTTGAAATCTTAGTAAAGTAAGATATTTTCTTCCTACTACAAAAAGTGTCATTTTCAGAAATTTAATTTTTTAAGAGTCTAATTTTTATGATTTTTTTTGAGTAGTAGGTAATAAATTTTCAAACATACCCTTTTATGATGGGTCTAAAAAAAGGGTAATAACATTAGCGCTCCATAATGGGAAGATGAACATTTTTTGTTAGGACAGAGGGAGTTCTTTTTTTTAATTTTTATAGACCATATTAGTTCCACCTTCAAATTCTAAGCTAGTTTTTCTCTGATTCTAATTCAAAGACTCCTGTTTCATGCTATTTAAAAAACATAAATAATATTTGGTGATTTGTGTGTGTTGGTTAGTAATAGTAACTGGATCAAATAAAACATGAATATGCAAAAACTCTAGTAAAAAAATAATAACCTAATCTAAAACAAAATTAACTCGTAAGATTTTAGTGATGTGAACTGAAATCAATTAACTTGCACACAATTTTATCAATTTACATGCCACTGAGCCCGCAGCCCAGCCAATTGGGCTTGTTTGGTCATTTTGTTGTTTTTCCTGTAAATCATGGTTTACGATCCGGTGTAATAGATTCAGACGAATATTAATGTAATCGACCAAATTGAGATTTTTAGACCCCTTAAAAATGTTATGAACCAACTGATATGTCGCATATCGACTAATAGGATGAACCATGCTTAAATACAACATATATATATACACAAACACACATACACAAACAAATTGCTTCAATTTCCAAGAAAAAATAAATATAAAAAAAAATAATTCTCATGCAATCCTTGCATATAAGAAAAATGGAGAACATGCCATAAATAGAGAATATATTGAGTGTGTTGTGACATACACCTCATTGCTATGCCTACTTAATAAGAATACCCATTTTACTTAGAAAGATTTGTACTCATTGGACGAGCATGGCAATGACACAGCATGTGGGGCTCGATTAACATAAATAAACTTTTGCCCATCGTGAATTTTTTATTTATTTATTTATCCTTAAAACATAAATAACTTTCAATTAGCATGTGGGGCTCCATTAACATAAATAAACTTTTGCCCATCGTGAATTTTTTATTTATTTATTTATCCTTAAAACATAAATAACTTTCAATTATCAGATGATCGTCAAAAACATGTCAAAGACATTATGCATATTTGTTGAACTATTCAATTGATAGCATTCCACCGAGATAGGTTGATATTTAAAAGCCATTATTCTATAACCAATTTATCAATCCCATCAATGGAATTACAATGCAACAATCTGCCATTAAAAAAGAGAGTTTAATGTTGCGTTTGGAAAACTAAATCATTACAATTTTAGATAATTTCAAGCACATGCATTAAAAAAAAATCAGTGATAAACCCTTGATATCAAAATCCATTCTCTTTGTAATACAAGGAGTTTGATTTTCTTGTTTTAGCCATCTATATATGGAAACACAAACATAATGTGCACTTTAACATAAATGTGCATAAAGTAATTTTATTTAATATCGAGTCAAGAGTGCTTTCTGAAATCAAAGTCTCTCACAATTAAGGTAAGCAATTTAGTTCGCTTTTGAAAACTCAAAATCATTTATCCAGGGCATCATCAGCAGACAACACATCATTCTTATGTACTACAAAATAAATGAGATGAGGAGCATATCAGTAGACAAATCTTATGTACTACAAAATAAATCAAGCATTGATACTTTGAAGCTTGTACATTTACATTGTTTTAGTCGGAATAAGCATTTTGCTTGACTAAAACTTTGTAAGCTACATTAGCTAATACGCAAGCAAGCTGGTATACTCGGAACAAAGTTTGAAACTTGTATTGTGGAGATCCTTCAAAGTAATTCTTTTGACTTCCGACTCCTTGGCAATCATGCCGTCCCTTCCACCCTTTGCCTAATAATCCGCGAGAGAATTTGTGAATTTGTCTTCCGATTGTGAAACTGTATGCGAAACTTGCAAATCATCCTACAAAGTTTAGCTACATTAGCTATAAGCAAGCAAGCTGGTATACTCGGAACAAAGTTTGAAACTTGTAGTGTGGAGATCCTTCGAAGTAATTCTTTTGACTTTCAACTCGTTGGCAATCGTGTCATCCCTTCCACACTTTGCCAAATAATCAGCAAGAGAATTTGTGAATTTGTCTTCCGATTGTGAAACTGTATGCGCAACTTGCAAATCATCCTACAACATACACCATAATTAAGTGAGGATAAAAAAAATAACAAAAAAAATATACAGAACAAGAGACATGTTGTCTTACCCGTAAAACATTTTGTACTTAGAACCCTCACTCTCAAATTAGCCATGCTAAGACCATTAAAAAGGGATATAATCTCGGCATGGCGCGAACTTCCCATATACTGCAACGGCCCATATTCTTTGTATACCACTTCTCCCATATAATTCCTGGATGTTGCAGCCCAGCCCGACAACTCCCTACCATCCACCCCCATGGGCTTATATCCACCGTCGACATTAATTTTATAACACCCAGGTGGAGGAGTAGTCCATTTAAACATTCTGGTTTATCAACCACGCAAACCTTAGACTTCCGAAGCCAACAAAGGATGTCATCCTTAGTATTTAAATCCTCCTTGGCATCCAACCAAACTTCCATAAATTCCTTGACTGATACATAAGTCCAGTTATTATTAGGTAGCGTACCCCTTAAAACCAAATAATCACCCAACCCGTCAAATTTTGGCAGTCCCCTTCACTATAAAAAAATCCACGGATGGATCAGCTTTAATAATAAAAATAATACCGGTCAAAATGTACATACGGTAGAACTAAAGGGATAAGACAGCATACTAGCAGGATAACTCAGTCATGTGATTCAGAGTATTTAAATTTGGAATGCATTTAGAGCTTTGGCGAATCTGGATGCCACTAAAAAGGGTTTGGGGACATTTGTGGTATTAAAAAAACATCATCTACTGCGTGAAAAGCTGCATAATGTAATGGGGAAAAATGCCAAAATTCATGCCTAAGCTTCCATCCATTAGTAAAATGCCCACCAATTTTATGTGTAATAAATTTTCGATTTTATCATACATACTGGTTAATAAAATAATAACTTATAAACAAACTAGGTACCTTTTCCGATTCCACTCATTTCACTGAGCTTTCTAGCTTCTTCTCAAAAAGTGTACCTACAAAAAATATGTTTACACATATTACTAAACTTACAAAAACATTTTTTAAAACAACAGATAAACACTTGGAAGTCTTTACATTAAGAATTACTAATCCTAACATAATTAATCACTCCAAATTATAAAGTTTGAGATGCAACCGAACAATAATGAGAAGACAAATGTCAACAGAAGAACAATATCTTTTAAAACTATATACTGTATATGCATGTGCATATGTGTAGAAACAAATAAAATGAAAATAACAATGAGCTATAAATACCATGTTGTGCGTGTAAGAGAGAGAGGCGTAAGTGCAAATGCAGAGTTTGTGTAACTGTATGACTAGTCAAGACGAGTTGAATCGAATTTTATTTAGGCCAAGGGCATTACATCTAATGACACCTAAAATTCATTTTATTCATGTGAAATGTGCTCAGTAAAATTACTACATTTCTATAACTAAATTCATGATTTTTTTATTATTATATTTTTTTTTAACAAAAACACACTTTACATATTCATTAGGAAATCAAATTGGATCTGATCTACCAGAGCCTATAGTGCTCAACTCAAAATTGAGTCGATGGTCAATTTGACAATTGTCATGTAATCATAGATGATACATGTCGATGTATACATAGAGATACATAGAGAGCGACTGAGAAACACACCTGAGCCGCTTTGTAGGCATTGAGCGTGCCCACAGCAGCCTCCTTGGGCTCCGAACCGGTCTTGAACTCAGCGAGATAACGATGATAATCGCCCTTCATCTTCAGGTAAAAGACTTTGGAGTCACCGGAGGAAGCCGAAGGGATGAGCCTCGTGTAAAGCAGCTTGAGAATACCGTCGCAGATCGAGGAGAGCTCGGACTCGATCTTGGATCTGTAGTTTCCGATCATGGAGACCTGGTCCTCGTTGCCACGGCTCTCCTCCTGCTCGATCGAGGAGATGATCCGCCAGGAGGCTCGTCGTACGCCGATCACATTCTTGTAGACCACGGAGAGGAGGTTGCGCTCCTCCACCGTGAGCTCCTCCGAGTCCGCCGCCGCCGACACCATCTCCATGAACTCAACCATCTCTTCGTACCGCTCGGCCAGCTTTGCCATGTACACGTTCTATTCGCGTGCTGTAGGTGCGACCGCCATGGTTGGAGATCTGGTTTTGGTGTTTGATTTTGAAATGAGAAGTTTACAGAGAGAGAGGCGAGAGAAAGAGAGACAAGTTCAGAGTCGACAACGAGAATAGAGATGGAGGCGACTGGTGAGGCTGAAATGATTTGCCCTAAAAATATTTTCTTTCTTTTCTGTGGCCTATAAGCGTTGGGCCTTAGGGCCCGGGAAGGGTTGTGTGATGTAAAATGCATAAAACCCCCCTTCGACTATGCCCATTTGAGCAAGAAACACCCTGGACTACCAAATTGGCAGAAAACCCCTGAACTTAGGACTTTTGTTGCAATTTACCCAATCAGGTGACCAGCCTACGAATTTTACACACTTGTCTCTCACGTGACTACCCAAATTTAATTAAATAATCATACAACCTTTATGAATCTAAAAGACCATAGTACCCTTATATTAACTGACAATTACCCTTCTGTCTCTCTCTGTATAGATTCATATAGTTAATATGTATGTTCATCTTCTTCATTATGCAGATAAATACTGTCAATAAAAAATATGTTAATTGAATAGTGAACTCCTATCGTTCCCTATATTCATCTTCTTCATTATGCAGATAAATACTGTCAATAAAAAATATGTTAATTGAACAGTGAACTCCTATCCTTCCCTATATATATATATAGTTCTGTACACATTATCCATATTCATGCCAACGTTACATCTTCCATATAAACCCCTTGAATCACTAGAACTGATTGACGAAATCCAATCACAAGCAAACCCAATTGCAAAATTCTCAACCTCTCGCCAAACCCAATCACAAGATTTGATTCACAAAATCGTCGTAAACAAACCAAATCGCAAAACCCCATGAATTGGTAAATAACTTTTTAGTTCAAAAACACCATGGTTCAAGATCAAATCATTTTGAAAGAACCAGGGATTTAGCTGAGTTCTCCAGCAAAATCAAGATTGAAAGAGATGAAAGAAAGTGTCCAAGAATTATCCGTGGTCATGGGTCTCGTCATCTAAACACCATCACATATTCTGATAGCCATCACAATTACCAGATAGCCATCCCGATTATTTTTAGTTGAGCGTTTAGCCATTGTCACCACCAGATTGAAATAAGGGCTTAGATGGTGGAGGAGATTGTGATGGAGAGATAAAGATTGTGGTGTCGGCCGTCCATTGTGGAGATTGGGGAAAGAAGAAGGAAGAACATATTTACGTATATATTTGTGTGTAATGTTGGTTTTGAAAGGAAAAAAAAAAAGAGATTAAGTTGATGAGCTTTAATAGTTGTTAAGTGACGAGGCTAAGGGCCGTTCTTACACGCCAAAATTGATGTAGTGGATGTGCGGTTCAAGGAAAGCCTTTTTGGGTCAAGTTTAAATTTATAAAAACCACTATCAACACTACTACTAACGTAGCAAGGGTGAGTAGGGATCGTCCCAAAGGATTATGGGGATTAAGCAATGTCAGAGTTGATTGTGGAATCGCAATTAGGGCTAGTAGGTCAAGTGATCAAACAATTGGTTGGTTGGTTAGTTGATTAAAGAGCAACTAAATTAGATTAAGAAATAGCAAAAGAATGCAATTAAGAGTAAGTAAGAGAGAGAAGAGTCTTGGGGTTTAGAGATCACCACCAAGCAATGCATTTCTATATTATTGACAAGTGATTGATGAGGGTAATTAGGGTGTTGCAATATTGGTGTGTGTGTATTTGGTTGATTCAACAAGCAATGATGACTAGTTAAGCATGTATTGTCTAAACATCATGTGAAACGCACAATATATCTAAGTAATGAAGAATATATTGTCTAAACAACATGTGAAAGGCACAATAAATCAAACCATGTCATTAATCCTTTCATTAGGCTCATAATCCAAATACAACACAAGATTAGAGACATATGCTAATTGCATTCAAAAACTTGGATCATCAAACAACAAGCATAAATTGTCCTCCCATTTAACATTACACTACAACTACACTACATCTACACTATTAGCATGAAAATAAACTAGGGGAGAGGCACAATCCATCAAGAGATAAGCATGAACCATCAAGAGAATTACAAAAGCATTCTTTTAAGCACAATGTTTTGACAATCTCTAAATCTATGGCATCAATTCACATGGACATGCATCAATAATACAAAATCTAGAGACAAGAACATGAACATCAATTCTAGCATACATAAACATATGAATGGAATGAAATGATCAATTGGAAGCATTAAACCACATAAATCATTGAATAAACAAGATCTATATATATCAAAGTGTCAAAACATCAATTACAACACTAATCCCTCAATAATACACAAGTTTAAGATATAGAAAGCATGCTTGGGGCTAACTCTAGCCCTGTAGACACTAAAATTTAGTGGGCTTTGGTTTTAACGAATGGACCCATTAAATATAGGCCTAATGTTTAAATAAATTATTTAATTTACCAGGTTTGGTCCACTTAAATTATTTAATTAGCCCAGCCCAGATAATTAATGAAACGATAATTATTCCTAATAAAATATATTTTGAATAATTATCTTTAAGGATAATTATCACAATATAACCGGCCCGGCCCAGTTATAGTTTTATCCTTATCAGGAGATGACACATGTCATCATCCTATTAATCCAAGAAGCCTATAAATATAGGCATGGAGGAAGAAAAAAAGGGGAGAGGATTCAGAATTCAGAAGTCTACAAATTCAGACACAAATTCAGAATTCAGAAGTTCAGAGACTCAGAATTCAGACACAAATTCAGAATCGAAACCCAAAAGCGAAGAACATCAAGCACATCCAACAACGTGCCGTTCTTCATCAAATTCCACAGTGATTCAAGAACAAGCTCGTGCAGCCCTTGGATCCAACCAACCAAAAACAAGGAAATCGAATCAGAGGACCATTTTTCTTTTGTAAAAGATATTGCAAAGGACTGTACTCCACATTCATAAATTAATAAAATTCTATTTTGCTCCATATTTTGTTTTTATTGCAGACTTACAAAATTTGTGTGTACAAATTTGTGGCACGCCCGGTGGGACCACCTTTGCCTCTCATCTCTTTCTCCTACCATTAAGTTTCTTCTCTATCAGATTCTATGGCTCCCCCTAAGATTCAGACAGACAAGAAAGCCCAAAAGAACATCGCTATTGCAAAGGTCGACGTTAAAGCCACCATGAAAAGTGGCACGAAGACCAAATTAAGCGATGGAAGTACCTTGACGGGCCCTGTGACACGTAGCAAGTCCCAGGCGATGGCGTCATTCAAACTTCAGCAAGATGTGGTGAAAACTAATCCTGCAACACCGGCGAACGTGAAAACTCAACATGTCAAAAACCTTGACATTGTTCCAGAGGAGGCTCCACCACCAGATTCACTTCGTTCTATCTATGATGCTTACTCTAGTGTCGGTTCACCCCAGAGTCACCACGTCAGACTTCGGAGCAATCAATCACTTCAAGGAACGTGGATTCTCAAGGTCTATCATACTCAGATGTGGTTGCTGCTATGATGACTGGAGCTGCTACGGTGGAGGAACAACTAGCAACTATGGCTCATTCCATTGAGAACCTCACAAAGATTATTGAAGAAAAGGACTTGCAAATCGCTACACTAATGAATAAATTGGAAGTTCAGACCTTCGGTGAAACACCAGTGCCATCCGGGAATCGTGCAACTTTCACACCACCACTGTCTGGGAAACCTACATCTTCTACAGCAATACTAACGGAGAATCCTAATTCTACAGCACAAGGTACTCACAGGGAGAATCCCAAACAGACGCCGGTGACAGAACAAGCGACCAGTTAAAACCAGACGCTGGGGATAGAACAGGCGACTGGTCAAACCAATCATACCTCTTCTTCAGTTTCTTCATTATCTGTCGAACAATTGCAAGATATGATAACGAATACAATCCGAGCTCAATATGATGGTGTCTCACAGAGCACTCTCATGTACTCAAAGCCCTATACAAGGAGAATCGACAGTATGAGAATGCATGTAGGATACCAACCTCCGAAGATTCAGCAATTTGACGGAAAAGGTAACCCCAAGCAATACATTGCCCATTTTGTCGAGACTTATAACAATGCCGGAACAGAGGGGGACTTACTAGTCAAACAGTTTGTCCGGTCCCTTAAAGGAAACGTGTTCGAGTGGTACACTGACTTAAAGTCAGAATCAATTGATAGTTGGGACCAGATGGAACGAGAATTCTTGAACAGGTTCTATAGCACTCGTTGTACTGTTAGTATGATAGAGTTGACTAACACGAAATAATGGAAGGATGAGCCTGTAATCGACTACATTAATCGGTGGAGAGCCCTCAGTCTTGACTGCAAGGACCGTTTGTCAGAAGTATCTGCTGTGGAGATGTGTACGTAGGGAATGCATTGGGGCCTGCTCTACATTCTGCAAGGCATAAAACCTCACACATTTGAGGAATTGGCTATGCGTGCCCATGACATGGAGATCAATATAAAATCTCATGACGGCAAAAGTCCCGTGACTATAGAACCACGCAAAGATAAGAAGGACTGGAAGAAGGGCGACAAGTCATTAAAAAATGCGGCTAAAGATTCAATGGCTATCTCAACCACCCCAATCAAGATATCTGTTAAAGATGACAAGAAGGATGATAAAAAGCCTCGCCAGTTTCAAGAAAGGGAGAGACAGCGTCCTACGCTAAAGGAGTTAGAGAAGAAAGAATACCCCTTCCCCGATTCCGATGTTCCTAGCATCTTGGAATGTTTACTTGAAAGTAAAGTTATAGAACTCCCTGAATGCAAACGTCCTCCAGAGATGGGACGTATCAACGATCCAAAATACTGCAAATATCATCGCATTATCAGTCATCCAATTGAGAAGTGTTTTATCTTCAAGGAGGTGGTGATGAATCTGGCAAAACAAGGAAAAATCTTGTTGGATACAGACGAAATTGTAACTTCAAATTATACTACTGCTACTTTGACAACCTCTGTCGTGGGGAGTGCTCGTTCTCAACCTTTAACTTTAGAGGTATCTTGCACAACTATCCAGTTTGGTTCATTGGAACCAATGCCAATCTATATTGGCCAAGGGAGTGTACGTGACATTTCAACATTTGGAAGGGTTTTTCCTCAGGATGATAAAGAAGGATGGACTCTGGTGACAAGAAAGAAACCACGGAAGCAACAAGCTGATATTTTTCAGACTAATTATTCTGAC